CTCATCCTTCATCTCCTGGATTCACTGAATTATGGGAGTGGAGACTGTTGTTGCAGATTGCAGACCCACCACCCTTTTCCCCTCCCTCTCCTGAGTCTCCAGTGTCCATCATACCATTCTCTATGCCTTTGCAGATCCTTAGTTTAGCTTCCGCTTATAAGTGAGAACCTGTGATGTTTGGGTTTTTGTTCCTACGTTGGTTCACTTAGGATGATGTTCTCCATTTCCATCCAAGTTGCTGCAAAAGACACTATTTCATTCGTTTTGATGACTGAATAGTGCATATATACCACATACTACATTGTCATTATCCACTGATTGGTGGGGTTGATGGGCATTTAGGTTGATTCCACATCTTTGCAATTATGCATTGTGCTGTGATGAACATGTGGGTGAAGGTGTCTTTTTTATATAATGACTTCTGTTCCATTGGGTGGATACCTACTGGTTGGATTGATGGATCAAATGGTAGATCTACTTTTAGTTCTTAGAAAAATCTCCATACTGATTTCATAGAGTTTGTACTAATTTACATTCCTACCAAAATTGTATAACTGTTCCCTTTATACCACGTCCATGCTATCACTTTTTTTTTTTTAAGAGTCAGCATCTGTTGCTCTGTTGCCCAGGTTGGAGTATAGTTACTCAATCATAGCTCACTTAAGCTCTGAACTCCTGGCCTCAAGCGGTCCCCTGCTTCGACCTCCCAAAGTGCTGGGATTACAGGCTTATGTTACTGTGTCTGGCCAGCCTCTGACTTTTTTTTAATGATTTATTGTCGGCATACTTTAAAACTTACTAAAAAGTTACAAATGTAGTACAAGAGACTCACATATACTCTTTATTCAAATTCACCAATTATTTACATTTTGTCTCTTGCTTCATTATCCTCTCTCCTACAGATATAGATAGATAGATAGATAGATAGATAGATAGATTTAAATATAGATTATAATTGTGTGAGTGTTTAAGTAAAATTTGTACCCATTTTGGGGGATATCCATTTCAGAGTAAGTTGAGATACTGGGCCCTTTATCCTTAAATACTTGAATGTTTACTTTCTAAGTGCAACTTTTTTAAAAAAACATAAACCTAGTAGTTCATCAAAGCAAGAAAATTGCAGATACTATTATCTAATCCACAGTGCATGTTCACATTTCATTATCTGTCCCAATCCTATCCATTATAGCTGTCTTCCCTACTCCTCTCACCCTTCAGGCCAGGGTCCACTTTCGTATCAGGTGTAGGATTTCTCCTTTCATCTGAAACAGCTCCTCAGCCTGCCATGTGTTCCTTGACCTTGGTATGTTTAAAAAATGTCCAATCCAGTTATTTTGTAGAAAATCTCAAAATTTGAGTTTTTCTGAGATTTCCTCATGATTAAATTCAGTTTGTGTGTTTTTGATAGGTATACCAGTGATGCTGTATCTTCTCATTTTCCCATATATGATAATGATTTCTCTCAAAATTGGTACTATTAGCTTTGATCATTTGATTAAGGTGATAATCTGTCAGGTTTCATTAACAGTAAAGTTACTGTTTTCTCTTTCATAAAAAATCATTTGTGGCATCTTACTTTGAGATTACATAATAACCTCCATCTTTACAGTCAATAAGTTGACTGTACCAGTTTGATACCCATTTATGTTTTTCTCCTTCATTCCCTATTTATTAATCAGCATTCTACTGTAGGGTGAAGCTTTCCCTCATTGTCATTCATTTATTTATGTCAGTATGAGTTCATGAACTCTCATTTTATTCAATTAGTTATAATTCATTACTGTCAAATTGATGTGTCTGATGGGACCCCTTAAAACTGGTTGCTATGTTTTTTTGACATGTTCTCATGATTCTTTGAAAATTTCCTTTCTTTTGGGCAACAGAATGTTCCAGGCTCATCTTATACCTTCCCTGCTGCTACTCAGGAATAAGCTATTTCTCCAAAGAGTTTTGATTACTTTTGGTAAGCCTTTGAAATTTAGTTTGAAGGCAGTAAGTATCCACTGACACTTTGTGAGCGGCATGATCCAAATAAACATTTTAAAAAGACCACTCTGGTAACAGTATGCAGAAAACGTTGAGTGATGAAACTGGCAGTAGAAAGAACAGTTATTAGTCTCTACCTAAAAACACTGTCAGCGAAGGGAGAACAAAGTCACTTTACAGAGAAGAAACCTGTCAAGTACTACCTTAGCCAGGTGATCACGATCAATGTCAATAGTGATGTTGATAGTTTGTATCCTTAATATGCTGTGATGAAAATGGTACTTACCTCTGTGTTCTCCCTCCTGAAGACCCATAACCCCAGTATAATCATGAGAAAAACTTGAGACAGATCCCATTTGAACAACATTTTACAAAACACCTGATTAGTACTCCTCAAAACTGTCAAAGTTGTTAAAAACAAGGAAAATCTGAGAAACTGACTAAGGAGACATGACAGCTAAATGTAAAGTGATCCTGAATGACAGTTAAAAGGACATTAGGCAAAAACTAGGGAAATCTGTATAAAGCAATGTATTAAATATTGTTCATTAGTTATAACAATGTACCATACTAATATAACATGCTAATAATAGGGGGAACTGAGATGGGGTGCATGGAAACTCTGTACTATCCTCATAATCTTTGCGTAAACCTAAATTTTTTTTAAAAAATTGAGTTTATTATAGTGGAACACTATTAGTGGAGATGGATTTTAGAGTATTGTTTAGGAGGTTGAATTGATCATGCTTAATGACTGAATTGAGAGGCAAAGATTATGTGATGACTCCTAGTGTTGAGTTTTAGATGTATGAATGAGTAATGATATTTTCTTTGTTTTTTTTTCTTTTTAGAGATGAGATCTTGCCAAGTTGCCCAGGCTGGTCTCCAATCCCCGGGCTCAGGCAGTCCTCTTGCTTCCGCCTCCCAAAGTGCTGGGATTACAAGTGTGAGCCATTGTGCCCAGCCGATTCTTTTCACATAATACATCACAGTAACTACTTCAGAGCAGACATTGTGAAGGCTATAAGCTTATTTCAACAGTGCGGCCATTGTTGAGAATATTTTGCAGGATTATGGACTCTTCTATACATTCTTTGGGATAGCTTGCAATCTTTTAAGAGAATTATAGTAGTGTAGCAGTCAAGACAACGATGGTAGGCAGGTTTCTCTACCTTTTTTGAAACCCCAGAGGGGGTGTAACAACCGATATTAAAAAGTTACTGATTATGCATATAGTAATTAATAAAATGTGTCCTTTTTGAGAGAGAATTTGATTTTTCAAAGTAATTTATAGATTATTTGGAGCCTGACCTGGTTAATATTTGTTTGTTTGTTTGTTTTGAGGTGGGGTCTCACTCTGTCACCCAGGCTGGAGTGCAGTGACACGATCATGATGATCATTGCTCATAGCAGCCTCAATTTCCTAGGCTCAGTTGATCCTTCCCCCTCACATCCAGAGTAGCTGGGACTGACAGGCGTGTACCACCACGCCTGGCTAATTTTTTTGATTTTGTTGTAGAGATGAAATTTCAATAGTCTGCCTAGGCTGGTCTCAAGCCATGGCTGATCTGATTAATATTTGGAGTAAACTTGGTGTTGATATTTTTGGTCAAGATCAAGACAAAATTTGTTCAGAGTAATTTTTGTGTGTCCTATACATTTTAAAAATATAATTTTAGACTTACAGTAGAGTTGCAAAAACAGTACGTTGTGTTTGTCATGTCTTACTCCCTTCTAATCAGTGACGGTCTTGTCTTTTGTAACACTGGCACTTCTAAAGAAAGCTGATCAGTTATTACATAGGATGTCTTTCAGTTTGGGTTTGTTTTATGTTATCTCTTAATTAGATTAAGGATATGCATTATTGGGAAGGATACCACAGAGTTGATGTACCTTTCTCCGTACTTCTTAGCAGGAGATGGATAATGTCAGTGTGTATTACTGGTGATGTTAACCTTGATCATTTAGCTCAGGTGTTGTATGCCAGCATTCTGTACCATAAATTTACTATTTTCCTTTAGTACTTACTAAATATTTTAGGGGAGATAATTTGATACTGTGCTTAAACTTTGTCCCACTAATTTTAGCATCCATTAGTGGCTCTTCCTTCAGTGGTTATTATTGTAGTGTTCTAATGGTGAGTTGTTGTTTGTTTTTGTTTTTTTTTTTGAGTTGAGGTCTCATTCTGATACTGATGCTGGAGTGTGGTGGCACATTCACAGCTCACTGCAGCCTCGACCTCCTGAGGTCAGGCGATCTTCCACCTCAGCCTCCTGAGTAGCTGGGACTACAGGCACATGCCACCACACCTGGCTAAGTTTTAAATTTTTTTGTAGAGACAAGGTCTTGCTGTGTTGCCTAGGCTGGTCCTGAATTCCTGGGCTCAAGCAACCCTGCCTCAGCATCCTAATGTGCTGGGATTACAGATGTGAGCCCCTGCACCCAGCCTTCTAGTGATGATTTTTATATTGTTTAATTCCTTTGTGTATTAATTGGAATTCTTCTGTAAGGAATACTTGTCCCTTTCCCTTCACTAACCTTTTATTTTTTTTTGAGTTGGAGCCTCACTCTGTCGCCCAGACTGGAGTGCAGTGGCCGCTGGCCACTGCAGCCTCGACCTGCTGGGCTCCGGCGATCCTTCCGCCTCAGCCTTCCAAGTAGCTGGTACTACAGGCGCACGCTACCACGCCCCGCTAAATTTTTTGATTTATTGTAGAAATGAGGTCTCACCTGCCCAGGCGGGTCTCAAACCCACGGGCTCAGGCAATCCACTCACTTCAGCCTCCCAAAGGCGCGGGATTACAGGCTGAGCCACCGAGCCCGGCTGAAATGATTTTTTTAAAAAAAGAACTCATATGACAATTTAGATGACTTTTCTCATACCAAATTTTTCAAGTTATAAACTGGGAGAAACTAAAATTTTATTTTATGTTCATATATTTTAAAAATTTTAGAATTAATAACTACTTTTGAAGGAAAACGTACTTTTAACTCTTTTTTTCCCTTCTTCTTAGGCTTGAAAAGGAGTACACTACAATAAAAACCAAAGAAATGGAAGAGCAAGTGGAAATTAAAGTAAGTGTTTCAGGGCTTTTTTTAGAGACTGAAGATGAATTGATTGAAATCAGTTATTTGGCAGTAGATGTTAATTTATGTTGATGTGTTGTTACCTATTTGCAGTAAATTTGTATTTATTCATTTTTATATTGATTTATAAATTTACTAGATTATAGTTAAAGTGGACATTTTAAAAAAGCAGGATAATGTGACTGAAATGACTTTCATTACAATGTGAGAGAGCAGCTCTTCTCTTTTCCAAGGCCTGTTGGTTCATCAGGAGAAAACACTTCCATGGGGAAGAGTCCATTTAGGCACATTTAAAAATGTGGTAGGAAAGATAATGTGTGGGGGGAATCCCCAAAATCCCGGAATTTATTCATAAAAAATGTGTATTTATTCTTACATGTTTAAATTTCAGTCAACTTCAAAATACTCCTTGTTTTATGCACTCCACCTATCAAGACACTTGTTTCACTGCTCAAAACATTTTTCGACTCATTAATTATGATGCCTTTTAGTGCTTCTGCTGTTTTTTGTTCGGCCTCATCTGCATCAGCAAAATGTTTCCCTTTGGGGAATTCTTTCATCTGGGGAAACAACAACAAAAAAAATCACTTAGGGTGAGATGGGGTAAATAGGGAGGGTGAGGCATGGAATCATGCCATTTGTTCGTCAAAAACTGCTGAACATTCAATACAGCGTGGGCAGGTGTGCTCGTAAATCACCCACCATGAAATGGGCAAACGTGTTGAAAGAATCCTAAAAAAAAAAAAAATTCCACCGAAGCCAAATGTAGCCTCTCACAACAACACTAGCTGGTACACTGATGGTGATGGGTTCCTAATACATCGACCTAGTGGGGGAAGCCTGTACTACAAGGGGCCTTCCCTCCAAAAAATCATTGTGGGTTTTTTTGGCCCTCCCTCGTATACCACATTTTATGCTGACACAGCAGCATGATCTGAGGTAAACAATAAATAGAGCAAACATTACACTAGAACTAATTATGGCTGTGCCAGAGCTGCAGGAAGCATTGACTAATACAATAATTTCTTCTCTAAGCAAGGGTTATATTTTTGAACTGCTTCTCTCCAGAGAAACGGTAGGTTTTCTGTTCAAAGGGCATATAAGTACCCTGTATGTGCCCTAAAATTCTAAAATTTGTACCCCATGTAAGCCAGGGAATTCTTAAGTTGAAGGTCTTTGGTACTCTTGAAGCTGGGACCTATGGAAAGTTGTGTCAGCTTTTATGCTGATATTGCAAGAGGGGGATGGTGACTGAAGCATGAGTCAAGGAACTCAGTGATTGGCTGATTCAGTTTCTAATCTCTTGACTGCCCTCATCCCCCCTGAAGAACATGTCAGAACAAAACAGTTTTTATTGAGTGACTCCTTCCTCCTTGTTTAAACTTTGTTTGAGTATTTCTGATTTTTTACTTGGACCTGGCAAGACATCAGATGACCACTTCATCTACAGCTAATTAGCCATGTGTTAATTGGGTCTTGCTATATAATACCACTTGTACCTCACAGATTCCTTTGACAAAGGAATGGGTCTTTTTTTTTTTGAGTCGGAGTCTCACTCTGTTGCCCAGGCTGGATTGGAGTGTCAATGGTCACAGCCACCGCAGCCTCGACTTGCTGGACTTGGGCCATCCTTCTGCCTCAGCCTTCCAAGAATCTGGAACCACAGGCGTGCCCCTCCACACCTGGCTAATTTTTTTATTTATTTTAGAGACAAGGTCTCACCAAGCTGCCCAGACTGGTCTTGAGCCCCCGACTCAGGCAGTCCTCTCACCTCAGTCTCCCAAAGTGCTGGGATTACAGGCTGAGCCACTTCTCTGCCGGGAATGCGTTCTTTTAAACTGGTGCTCTCTCTTGCTTCATCCTCCTCAGAATCCTCCTGAGAGACTGTCCCTCCTGTTTTCCTCTGTCAACTCTTTCCTCCCTTTCCAGATGTGTTAGTCTCATTTCTAACTTATTCCCTATCTAATGGAAATAGATATTTCCACATTTTTCATAGCGAGAGAAGAGTCCCCTGTGGATGTTTTTTCCTTCTTATCCCCCCCTTTAAAAAATATTGAAACCCAACTGCTCTTCTACCATTTGCTTTTCTTTTAGGCCCCATGAGTAAGGGTAATATTAAATCATATCCAGCACTTCAACCTACTGAAAATAAAAAATACATCATCCTGTTGAGTGGAGAGAGAATGTGGGTTATCGCATACCACAAATATTTGAATCTGCAGATCAAGAATCTGAGGATGGGGAAGCCATCCTGTTCATTTCACCATGCTGTGTTATAGGAAAAAAAATTACAGTTCTATAAACAGTCCTTATTCTTAAAGACATTTCTTATAAAATTAAGTATAAGAGCCAGGTATGGTGGCTCACGCCTGTAATTCCAGCACTTTGGGAGACTGAGGTGAGAGGATTGCCTGAGCCCAGGGGTTCGATACCAGTCTGGGCAACTTGGTGAGACCTTGTCTCTACAATAAATCCAAAAATTAGCTAGACATGGTGGTATGCACTTGTAGTTCCAGCTACTTGGAAAGCTGAGGCAGACTGAGGCTGCGATGGCTGTGAGTGTGCCACTCAGCCTGGGTGACAGAGTGAGACTTCAACTCATAATAAATAAAATAAAATAAAATAAACGAGTAGAGAAACACCAAAAGACATTTTCAGAAAATATATCTTTAGCAGGCTTTAGGCTATGTTTGCAGTTTATCTCATTGGTTTTGGGGAAAGTTATAGTTTACATTTTGCCTTACAAGATGCTTTTAAATACCAGCTCCAATGTATCTCAGGCAGATGGCATACAATTGTTTGTAGAGAAGAATCTGAAATAAAAAGTAAAAAAAAAAAAAAAAAAAAGTTAGTGGAACATATCAGGTAAATAAAGTTTGCTGATCTCAAAGGCAGTCTTTTCCTTTCTTGTAATCTTTCCACATAGTTCTTTCTTACATGTACCATTGTCATCTTTCTTCACTGCCCCAGTTCCCCAAAAAGACAAAACCAAAACAATTTTTGAATGATTGTACTTTTTTTGTACTTCATGTTTGCGTGTATTTGGATTTTTAACTTGGACCTGACAGCTCACTTCAGGATCAGATGACCACCTTATTTTTAATCCATTAGCTATGTATTAATAGAGCCTTGCTGTAAAATGGGAAATGACACTTCACACTCCCTCCTTTCCAGAAAGACTGTTTTACAGGGGAATGGATTTTGCTCAAAGAGTAGTTTCTTGCCCTGGTCCTCCTTAAAAGCCCTAGGGGAGGTAGTTCTGTGCCCTTCTTTAAACTGGGAAATGGTATGTATGATCATCACATTATTTGAGGTTGTGATATGAAAGTATAAAATCAGTTCTTGGTGTTGTGAAATGTATTTAAGGTCTTTGTTGTTTTTAATAAAATTCTAAGAACTTTGGGGTGGTGATCTTCTATTTTCTAAGAAATATATATATCTTTCAGTGAGCTTCCTGCTTAGGATGGGGCTCTTAAGCATTTTTTCCTACTCCTTCCCTAAAAGTGTTGTAGGAAAGTGTGATAATAATGGCTTCATATGCAGCATCTTACAGTTTACTGTGTAAAATTTTTTGTTAATAGAAACATCTTTATCAGTATCTTCTTCCCATCTCTTGATGTTCCGCCTGAGGGGGAGGAGGTAAGAAATATTAAATTCTAGCTTATATGAGGGTAACCCACAAATCTTTAAAAATAAAACTTTGATTCCCCCGATCTAGTTAAGATAGACACATGAACTGGTAGTCTAGTTTTCCTATTTAAATTTGTGCTTTGGGATGTAGAGATCTAAAGCCCTACAAACGAGAAGTGTTAGAAATTTCCAGAGTGATTTTTAGTCAAAAGTTAAATATTTTTCCCTGTTTCAAAAATTATGGTACATTTCAGATATACTGCAAGCCAGAAAATCATGTAAAAACATGTATGCATTTCCTGCCTGGCATAAAAAAGAAAACATGGTAAATGTTTTCTAAGTTGTCCAGGAATTCTATTTGAACAGTCATTGTGAGGTATTTGTAGAATTGAACCTCACATTTATTTAGCCCTTAATAGATAATAGGCCATTTACATGTATCATCTCCCCTTATTCCTACAATAACTTTATGGAAGGCTTCTTTATCCTCATCTTTCTGTGAAGAAACTAAGCTTTAGAAAGCTCAAATAATATGCCAATGGTTACTTGCTAGGAAACAGTGAAAGTCAAGGACTTGAACTCTGATTTGTGTTATTCTAAGACCCATATGTGTTCAATATATATACACTGTGTTGCTTTCCAAGAGAGACTTTGATGTATATATGATGTAAGCTGTAGTTGGATGCCCGCTTTTCTGTGGTATATCAAACTTTTAATTAAAAAACTAATAGCTACACAATACTATCCAATGGAGGTATGATAGCATAATTTATTCAGTAACTCATCCATTTAGCAGGTAGTTTGTAGTGCCTACTACATGCCAAAGGTGATTATAAAACAGACCAATTTCTGCCTTCATGGAGCTTACATGCTAGTATGGAAGTCACAATAAAGAGAAAAGTAAAATGTACAGTATTTTGGATGGTGATAGATATTAAGAGGAAAAAAAAAATACCTCAGAGAAGGGGAATATAAAATGGTAGTATTCAGGTCAAAATTTAGAAAAGTTGGTCAGGTGACTTTTGAATAAAGACCTGAAGGAGGTGACAGAACTAGATACTCATATGTGACTACCTGGAAGAGGGCAGAGCCTATTCAGGAGTGTGCCTGGTGAGGACATGGTGAAGCAGCATGAATGATGAGAAACTGAGAGGAGGTAAGATAGAGTGGTTGCTGGGTTTTGTCAGTCTCGGTAATGACTTCGGCTTTTACTCTGGGGAGATGGGAGCCATTAGGGTTTTCAGTAGTAAAGGAGAACAAGACCTGGCTTAAGTTCAGTGGATCCTTCTGGCTGCTATGCTGAGAGTAAACTGCAGAATTGAGAGCATCTCTGATGAAGGCCTATGTGGTCATGCAGGCAGAAGATGATGATGGCTTGGACTGAGGTGATAAGGAGTGACTGGATTCTGAGTAGGTTTTTTTTTTTCAGTTGGAGTCTCACTCTGTTGCCCAGACTGGAGTGCAGTGGCACGCTTACGGCCACTGCAGTCTCTACCTGCTGGGCTCAGGCAATCCTTCCAAGTAGCTGGAACTATAGGCACGCGCTACTACGCCTGGCTAATTTTTCGGTTTATTGTAGAGATGAGGTCTTACCAAGTTGCCCAGGCTGGTCTTGAACTACCTGAGCTCAGGTAGTCCTCTTGCTTCGACCTCCCAAAGTGCTGGGATTATAGGCATAAGCCACTGCGCCCAGCCTCTGAGTAGATTTTAAGTATAAAGTTGACAGATTGAATGTAAAGCTGACAGGTTAAATGTAGAGATGTAAGAGGAAAGGAATCTACTTTGAGGCCCAGACAGTCAGAAATAGGGAGTTGTTGTGACTTGAGATGGGCAGACTACAGGAGGATATGGTTAGTGGAGAAGGAATGAATACCAGGAGCTCAGTTTTGGATACTTTAGGAATGAGATGCCTAGGAGATGTCCAGATCTTGAATATTCAGATCTTGAGTTAAGACAAGACAGGAACAATACTCATTTTTTAGTTATTGGCAGAATGATGGTACTAAAAGCTTCGAGAATGGATGAGATTACCTAGGAAATGAGTGTAGATAAAATAGAGAAGAGAGTTCAAAAATTGAACTCCTGTAATTCTGGCACTTTGGGAGGTGGAGGTAAGAAGATCGCTTCAGCCCAGGAGTTCTAGACCAGCCTGGGCAACAAAGCAAGAACTCATCTCTACTACAACAACAACATCAACAAAAATAGCCAGTTGTGGTGACTTGCACCTATAGTCCCAGCTACTTGGGAGGCTGATGCAGGAGGCTTTCTTTGAGCCCAGGAGTTGGAGGCTACAGTGAGCCATGTTTGTATCACTGCACTCCAGCCTGGCAATAGAATGAGACACTGACTAAAAAAATTAAAATGAAAAAAATTTGAGCCTGAGAGTAAGCCAGCATTTAAAAGTGAGGAAGGGGGGCGGGGAAGGAAAAATAAATAAATAAAAGTGAGGAAGATGAGAGAAAGCAGCAAAATAAGAAAAAACCAGGTAAGTGTAGTGCCTTAGAAGCCAAGAGAAATTGTTTCAGAAAGAGAGAATTTATTGTGTCAAGTGCTGAAGATTGTTTTGTGGAATGAGGATGAAGAAATGACCGTAGTTTTATTGGCATGGTTATAAACTAGAAAAAAGCAGATTGGTGGTGGGTATTAAAATCTTAACTGGGCAATTTGGTGAGAGCTCCTCTCTACAACAAATCAAAAAATTAGCTGGGTATGGTGGCACACACCTGTAGTTCAAGTTACTTTGGAGGCTGAGGCAGAAGGATTCCCTGAGCCCAGCAGGTTGAGACTGCTGTACTCCAGTATGGGCGATGGTGAGACTCTAAAAAAAAAAAAAAAAGTTCCATTTAAAATAAAAATAAGAGGATATCTAGAAGTAATGCAAATGAAAAGTAGAATAGACCATAACAAACACTGAAAAACTTTGCACACAGACATTTAAAAAAGATGATTACAAGGAGACAAAAGTAGCTTCATGTTATGTAAAGATATGAAATTTCCAACAAAATGTTAACAAATCCAGTGAAATTTAAATCCTTGTAGAACTCCAGAACAATAAAAATATCTAAAGAATAATTCTGAAAAAATAGGTAAAAGTGATAAAATAATATTCATGCCTAACTTCAAAAATATTGTGAGTGATACTTATTAACTGAGTATTTGGCATATATTAAGTGCCATGCTATCCCATTTAATTTTCCTTTATAAGTTTTATTACTCTAATTTTCTAGTGAGGAAGTGGAGATTTTTTTTTTTTTGAGTTGGAGTCTCACTCTGTCACCCAGACTGGAGGGCAGTGGCACGCTCTTGGCCACCGCAGCCTTGACCTGCTGGGCTCAGGCAATCCTTCTACCTCAGCCTTCCAAGTAGCTGGAACTACATGCACGTGCCACCACGCCTGACTAATTTTTAAAAAATTTTATTTATTGTAGAGGTGAGGTCTTGCCAAGTTGCCCAGGCTGGTCTCAAACCCTGCGGGCTCAGGCAGTCCTCTCACCTCAGCCTCCCAAAGTGCTGGAATTATAGTCGTGAGCCACCGTGCCCAGCCAGAAATGGAGATTCTAAGACATTGAATGACATGTACAAGTGTTCATCATAAAGATTTGAACCCACATCTGCCTAACTTCAAAACCTAGTCTCTTAACTACTTAGTATACTTGTGTTTGGGATTTGGAAAGGATAAACCAAACAATGTAAGAATGGGGGGAATTAGCTCTACTAGATATTGAAAGGGATTGTAAAGCGATAATTATCAACAAACCGTGATATTAGTCAAAAAAAAAAAAGACACTTGTAGTAAAAAAAAAAAAAAAAAAAAAAGAGAGAGAGGAAAAGAAACCTAAAGGTAACTCCAAAATGGTCTGTGTTAACCGAACAGGTCTATTAAATATGTAAATATCACACAAGTGAGGAGGCAATGATTTATTTTAAAAGTGGTATTAAGACATTTGGCTGGATATTTGTGGAAGAAAAGCCACTTAGCTTTTTATTTATAATTAAATAGATTTCAGAAGCTTTTTTTTGTTTTGTTTTGAGTTGGAGTCTCACTCTGTTGCCCAGGCTGGCGTGCAGTGGCACAGTCACGGCCACTGCAGTTTCAACTTGCTGGGCTCAGGCAATCCTTCCGCCTCAGCTTTCCAAGTAGTTGGAACTACAGGTGCTCACCACCATACCTGGCTGATTTCAGAAGCTTTAAAGGAGGTAGAGAAAGGAAATAGAGGTGAATTTAGTTCTGAATTTTATTTTTTTTCTAACACATTATTTCTGTTGTAACTAACTTCATTCACTCAGTTGTCTGGTTGGACTTAGTTTTCTGCTCCTCAAGCTGTGATTCTGCAGTCTGAGATCACACATAATGTCCATTTCAAATAGTAAATATATTTTAGTGAGCAGTACAAGAAAATACAATTTGCAAGGTATCTTTGTAATAACTATGATTTGTTCCAGTGTATGGCCCATTTAATAAGTTGCAATAGATCGTAGTTTCTTATTTCCCTGAACTGAGACTTTATATATTATATACATTTTATATGCTAAATAAACTAATAGACAAATTATATTTAAGTCTTTATTGACAAAACAGTGGATTGAATTGATGGAAGGATTTTCTGAGAAAGACATTCTTAGCAGAAATTTAAAGGAAGATGGGGTTGGAAGAAGGCTTGATTGGGCTCTGGAACCAATTGGTACAAAAAGGTAAGAGGAAGTTTGGAAGTTGAGTAAAGGCAAAATGAAGGGACAACGCATAGAGGATTAAAAAATAAAGGAATAATTTATATAGGGGTTAGTAAGAAATTTTGTTGCTGGAATATGCAAAGGGATTTTTAAAATATGTAGTGTGATTTGAATTTATTACTTGATGACAGTAACTTGACAAGTTTTGGGAGCCAGGCACGGAACGATTAGGTGAAGTGTTTTTTATGTGTTGTTAATTTTGAACTATGAGAAAATACTAGCAATTAGAGCTTTTAATTTTTTTCAAATAGAAAACAATGATAGTTTCTTTTGTATTATCAGAACGTAAAGAAATCATGCAACTTGCCATCTGTAATATAAATGAAGACTGTTGTTATCCAAACTGACAATTTGATGTTTATTCTATAAATGTGCATTTATCAGACTTCCTATTTCGTAATTCAACCTACATTTGAATGCTAATTACATAGATAGACTCTGTTGGAGATATGCAAGTTAGAATTTTTTCTAAGTGGAAATGTTAAAAACATATAAAAATATTGATTTGAGTCATTATAAGTATAGAAAAAAGGGGTTATTTCTGTATGTAGCTTATATCTAAAATTCATTTGGTGCTGGGTTGATAAATGTCATTTCTTTTTTCTTTTTTGGCAGAGGTTACGCACAGAAAATAGGCTTTTAAAACAGCGCATTGAAACATTAGAAAAAGTAAGTAAATGATACTTATGCAAGTTTCTGTTGAATGCATAGTATTTTTCTCTATATTTTAAATAAATCCTCAAAAATTCTGGGACGTATCTCCTAAGTCGTCGTATTGACTGCTTAGCTTGCTTTTCTTACTGTTTAACCAAATAACTTGTTATTAATAAAAATTGTTCAGTACTAGCACTTGGACTTCCATGTTAAAATTTTAACTAAGGTTAAAAGTAACATTGTCATTTGTTTTCTTGTAATATAATCTCTTAAAAAGTATGTTCTTTTAGAATCTTGTTGAGAATCCATTCTGATATAACCTTTTAAAGATTAGTTTCAGATGTGATGTTGAATGTAGCAATGATTCCCTTAAGACCTTGGATTGCTTTAAGTATAGTCAAAATGACTGATTCCTTATATAAAAATTCACTCTTGTGTTGATTTTCAACATAGGGGAGTTGTGCACAAACTTTTGGTTCTTAGAATTATTTTGATATCTACTTGTTACCTCTTCTCTTTTTATATAAAATAACTGGGTGAGTAAGGAGGTTTTGCATTATTTTCCATGTTATGGTTTTGATGCTTGTAGTTGTTTTCTGATACTGTAAAGAATGAATTGAGTAGTAAAAGTGGTGTGTAGAAGTTTTGCTTTATTAAAAGAAAAACATCTGAATTCACAAATTCTTTTGGCACTTTTTTTTTTAAACCAGAGGTTTAAATGGGTTTAAAAGTGGCTTAATGTTTCCAAGTAGCTTACAATTTTTCTAAAAAGCTATAGATAAATATTCAAGATGGAAATATGGATATTTTTCAGTATTTATCTTTTGTTTGGAAGGTATTGATTATTTCATATTAAATAGAAGTGCACAGGAACAGAATGTTTATTACATGTCTGTGTTGTATAATTGCAGATGCATTTTATTAAGTCAAAAATAGTTTCCTTGTATTAGAGTTCCTATGAGGATAATTCTTCTCTTTTGGTGACTCCACAAGAAGGTTATACTTAATTGTTTTTAAGTTGTTCTAATTATATACCCTTTTCTTCCCACTAAATACTCACATGGCAGTCAAGTGTACACCTTCTTAGATAGGTTTTTGACTTTGGAGTGAGAGATTTTCAGAGAATGCATTCTTATTTCATTGAAACTTCAGCATGCTTCTAGAAAATTAAATAAGTTTTTTTACTGGCTTAGGTGAACTGAGTGTGTTAGCACTTTAGAATTCTATAAATATTTGTGTATCAATTGAATTCTGTAATCAAAAGGTTTCTTTACTCTATTGCTGGAGTTTAAGTTGAGCTCATTAATTTCATTTGTCATATTTTCCTTGCTTTGTTTCTTTGGACATTGCTGTTACACAAATTGCTGTCGTACTTTATAAGTGGGATTGTTTACTCAAATTCCTTCTCCCTTTCATATAAGTGGGTTGACAATATGATTAAATCTAAAAATAAAGATGTAAAGATATGCTTTCAAAATTTGTTTGCTTGTCCCAAGTAATAAAAAAAACCACTCAAAATTTATGTTTGATCTCTTCTAGAAACACGTGATTTTTGGCAGTGTTTGCTTGTTTTGATATATTTTTCTTAAGGTTTAATAATAAAAACACATTCAGTAAAAAAATAGTTTTAGGTGTGATGGCTCCACGCCTGTAATCCCAGCACTTTGGGAGGCAGAGGCGAGAGGATTGCCTGAGCCCAGGGGTTTGAGACCAGCATGGGTAACTTGGCCAGACCTTGTCTCTACAATAAATTGAAAAATTAGCCAGGCGTGGTGTTGCATACCTGTGGATCCAGCTACTTAGAAGATTGAGGTGGAAGGATTGCCTGAGCCCAGCAGGTCGAGGCCACGGTGGCTGTGAGCATGCCACTGCACTCCAGCCTGGGTGATAGAATGAGACTAACTAAAAAAAAAGTTTAAAAATTTAAATGTTCATTTTAATTAACAATGAAAAGTAGGTGGAATTTGGGTATGTTTGTTTCTTCTTATTCCTAATTTTATCTTTTGTATTTCTTTCTCTTATATTTCTATCTGAATTTTTCCTTTTGTAGGAAAGTGCTTCCTTGGCAGATAGATTGATACAGGTATAAATTTTTTTTTTTTTTTTTTAGCATTTTCTCTAACTTTACTTCTAAGGAAAGTCCTAAACCTAGACATTCATGTTTTAATGCATGCGATTTTACATGCATTTTCATAGAAGTAATTTTTTGGGAGGTATATGTGGGTGTAAACTTAATTTTTGATAACCATTACCTTGATTTATTAAGAGCACCTTTTGCACGTTTTAGAGCTAACCTTATTTTTTAAAGTATTTATTTCAAAATGGCAATCAGTGAATTCTATAGAATTAACCACTATTCGTTGAAAATTTTATTTCTGCATGTAAAACTTAGTACTATTGCATGAATTAAATTTTTATTGACTGAAAGAAGAATTGTTCTTAAGATTATCAGGTAAATTTTTAATTTAGTTTCTCAAAATGGGCTGAAGCAATAACAAGCTGCTTACTTAGGCTGTTCTATTCTCTGAGGTGCCAAAGTAAATAACTAAACCTCACAAAGGCAGTCTTTCTTGAATTTATCCTAAATTGAAATTGCTTTACACACAAACAAATTACGTCCTAAGGGACAAGTGACAAGAGCCCAGGAGGCTGAGGAAAACTACCTCATAAAACGGGAGTTGGCCACCATCCAACAGCAGAGCGCTGAGGCCAGTGCTAAGCTGGAGCAAGCTGAACATACCATCAGGGAGCTCCAGCAACAACAACAATGGGTAAGGAGTCGGGGAGTGCGTTTTCTCACCTTTCTCATCCCCTTCCCTCTAAACCATTTTTTTTAGATTAAAAAATATAGTTTATTTAGAAAGTAAATTGAGAGAGAGAGAGAGAGGAGAGATTCACCTCCCCAAGACAGGGGAGGGGGCCAAGCCTAGGAAACATGGCGACCATGGCTCAAGGAGCCACACGGTCAGACTATAGCTTAGCAAAGCAATGGCCTAACCCATTTTTTTTAAGCACAATTTCTGTGCTCTTTTAAATAATTTTGTTTTTTACTTTAATTGAACTCTTAAATGATTCCATTTTATGTTCTACAATACTAGGAGTCTTATTGTGGCCTAAAGACTCCTTCTAACTTTTGTATTTCTGTCTACACTGTTTTGTTAGGAATAGGTAATAGTTTCTTTCCTTATTTTATGTTCTAAGTCATAGAAAATAAGCAGTGTGACGAGACTCGCATTTTAGGTTTTGGGTATCCGTTTTCATAGGTATCATTTTTGCCAAGGGTGAAATCCTAACTTCAGCTAGTTTTTGTTCATTGTGCAGTTGAAATATTGCCCAACATGCAGAATATAGGCAGTTGTCTCATTTAAATCTTTGATAATGTGGAAGTTTATATCTCATGAAATACTATTGCTTGGGCTTCCCCATATCAAGACATTGAATTATGGATTAAGATGTATGCCTACATTTTTCAAAAGGAGAGAAGTTGTCAAGATAAAAAAAAAAATAACCTTTTAAAAATAACCTGAGGCACCAAACAGCTACATATGGCATAGCTAGCTTCAGATATCTTTTGCAACTCAGACATCATTTTCTATTGGCAAATTCAGAATAGAGTTTTCTTAAGAATATGAGGGTAAAAGAAAAGCCAGCCGTTTGTCTTTGAAAAGATAGTTCTTGTTTCAGTTTTCTGTTCAGAAGTAGGAGCTAGATTGAAATAAGAGTCGGCAGAAAAAGTGTTAATCCTAGAACTCTCTACAATTCTGGAAGGAAAATTGAGAAACAGCATCATCATCTGGGTACAAAAATCAGAAAAGAAAAGCAAAGAGAAAAAATTGGCAATTGAAAGAGCCATAAACATCTATTTGTTTCTCGTATATTATTGAAGATGGCTAGAAAAATGAGTAGGAACGTGAAAAAAAATGCTAAAAAGATAGGAACTCAAATATTTTGCTTGCTTTTGTATGAAATATCAATAACACCAAAGCATTAAATACAGAATTATGGAGTTGTGTTGGGAATTAAACTGAAGTTAGTTAATACAGTATGATTTTTTTTAAGAAGGAAAGACTGTATTATGTTTGCATTTAGCATAAGCTACAGTCATAAAACATTAGAATCATGCATTAAGTTTTTTGCATTGTTTTGCAATTATTGAGACCTATAGAGTAGATGTATATCAAAAGGATAGAATGTTGCTTTGTAATGAAAAAGTTAACTGATTGATCAGAAGTGACCAGAAGGAACAGAGGGACATATTTCTGGTTGAAAGTGAGCATCCATTATTCAGTGTTTTGATTACAGCCTTCCAAAATAGCTATGAATTCTTCAAAACTCTGAGTTGCAACATCTCAGTTGTTCGTCAATGAAACTGTGAATTCTTCTGTATAATGTATTTTAGAAAATGTGTTTCCTCAGCAGCATTTAGGAGTTGTCCACATCTGGTTTACCTAGTGAGTTTGTTTTCTTTATGAAAATGGGAGTTAGTTGATATAAGTCTTTCATAAAATCCAAGTTAGAGAGATTACTTTGCATATTTAATTTTGTAAACTCTTAAACTGTTGGTCGATATACCTGTAAATCTGGACAGAGGTTTCCTTACAAAATTAATTTTGACTCTAGTCTAAAGATAAAATGTTTTACATTCCTATGTAATCATATGTCCCCTTCAACTTAAATAATAAATGAGGTATCATAATGGGAATTATTTTTAAATATTTTCTTCAGCATTAACCAAAAAATTATTACAATTAAGAGTATAAATAACCAGAAGCAAATGTCCCTCTAAAAGGATGTATATAATTTTTCATATTTTAGAACCAAATCACTTAAGAAGGATACATTAATTTTTCAACAAATGTAGTATAGCAATTCTTTAAATAATTTATATTGCTTGGATTTTGTTTTAATTGCTGTTTAGAGCACGTGTTAGGGAGGATTACAAACATCTTTTTAGGGTCTTAAGTGCATTGAGGGAGAGCAAGATGTAACTTTTTACTTTCATTTTTTTTTTGCTATAATTTTGTAGTATAGAAACCTGTTCTGGAGTATTTGTTTTCTGTAATAATGGTTTTGCAGATCCTTTTGGATGTTACAGTACAAATGTGCTATCTTCTCACATTACAAGTTTTTGTTTGTTTTTGGAGCAAATAGAAACTGACGCCTGGTGTGGTGGCTCACGCCTATAATCCCAGCACTTTGGGAGGCGGAGGTGAGATAATTGCCTAAGCTCAAGGGTTCAAGGCCAGCATGGGCAACTTGGTGAGACCTGGTCTCTACAATAAATAAAAATAATTAGCCGGGTGTGGTGGTGCACACCTGTAGTCCCAGCTACTTGGAAGGCTGAGGTGGAAGGATTGCCTGAGCCCAGCGGATTAAAGCTGTGGTGTGCGATGAGCTTGCTGTTGCACCCCAGCCTGGGCAAGAGAGTGAACCTCTGACTC